AGTCTAGTTTTAAATAATGCTCAGTTTAAAGCAGAAAAACGGCCTCGATTTGGCTCTAAAATTTAGTTTAAAACAGAAAAACGGCCTCGATTTGGCTCGAAACTTTAGTTTAAAGCAGAAAAACTGCCTCGTTTTGGCTCAGGTTTACTAACAGTCCTATTTTAAACCAGTTAAACTACATTTCTCTGCTCTAAAAACATGGTTCTGGTCCTCTAAAGCCCCCCCAAACATCTGGATCTGGGACTCTGAGCCCCATTGGAGCCTTAGGATCCAAGATGGCCGCCTGTGAAACGGCTGGGAGCAGCCAGCAGCACGGCGGGGGAGGCATGGTGGTCGGGGCTCATGAGGGGAACCTTTAAACCCCGTTTAGACTCACGTTTGGTGCATCGTCCTGTTCTGGTCGACAGAATCCAGCCCCCCCCACAGAGTCTGGATAGATAGATAGATAGATAGATAGATAGATAGATAGATAGATAGATAGATAGATAGATAGATAGATAGATAGATAGATAGATAGATAGATAGATAGATAGATAGATAGATAGATAGATAGATAGATAGATAGATAGATAGTGTTACTGTAACCAAACAGTAGCTGATAATAATAATAATAATACAGCGTATATAGTATAGAACATTATGATATATATAGAATATAGAATATTGAATATAAAATAATAATGATGATAGTACAGAATATATAGTATATAATAAATTATATAGAAAATATAATATATAATAGCAATAATGACAATAGTACAGTATTTATAGTATAGAATATAATGATATAGAATAAAACAATAATAATAATAATAGTCCAGCTTATATAGTACATAATACAATATATATGACATAGAATATAATAATAATAATAATAATAATAATAATAATAATAATAATAATACTAATAATAATAATAATACAGTATTCATAGTATATAATATCTAATAATAATAACCTAAAACAATTATCTAGAGCCTCTGGAGCTCAGAGGCTCTTTGTTGACTCAGCAAACAGTAGAGGGGGGGGGCAGGATTTAGTTATTACTCACAGCCAACGCTCACATTGTGGCAATGGCCACGTTCAGACACGGGACCTGACCCCCCCATGACCCCCCCCC